TCCAACGTAATCGCCCACGTCTGAAAGCTGGATCACCTGCCATTAACTGTGAAACACGCTCCTCTTTAGCAAGATCATCATTCTCACTTCTTTTCAAGTCATCCGTGGACTTCTTATCCATATCCACCATGCCGGCAGAGTTTGGAGACTTAGCTACAGTTGACTGAGCTTTCTCTGGAGACCCTATCAGAGGCAAAACCTTCTCCATTTTTAGCATCTTATTTCTAAGGACTTTTATCTCTTCATCCTTCATGTTGTTCTGCTTTTTCACTTCTTGCAAAATATCTTCCAATTTGTCTATATGCACCTTAAGGTCATCCACATCAGTTATTCCTTTACTGTTGGCCATAACATCTTCAATTTTCTCATCTCCAACTCCTACTGTATCCCAGACATCACGAGCAACAGCTCGCCATGATTCACGCTCATTTGGATCTTTTTTCCCATACATGGCACAAAGCTCTTTCATTTTAACAATGGCCAGAGCCTCAATCTCCTGCCTAGTGTGCCTGAAGTCATTGAGTGCTACCTCATAGCATATCTCTTTCACAGCCTGAATCTTTAAGTCTGAGATGGTAACCCATTTGGAGTCTTTGCTAAGGCGTCGACGTTGGGGTATCTGGTACATTTTAATAGGCTCTCGTTTCTTCCCACTGCTGGGGAGGCCACACTTTTTTACAATGGTTTGGAGCTTGCTGGGGGGCAGCTTCTCTCTCAGGGAAGTGATCAGTCTCCAACTCTCCTCACACGATCTCTTGTCCGAATCATCCCCACTATCAGAGTCTGCATCCTTTGGAAAAACAAAAATCAAGAAGTGGCCCCAAAATAACCAAAATTAAAATTGTAAGAAAATGGAAAAGCTAAACAAGAAGTAGCAGGCAAAGAAAACTAAATCAAAAATCAAAGTAGAACAAGTGATAAGGAAGTCCCTGAAGACTAAGTGTTAGGACATTTAAATGTATCTTCAAGAGTCATGGACTGTGAAAATTGAAGCTCTTCACTAAATTAAGATACATTATATTTAAAAGTCTTGTCAACTCAAAATAGCAGATAATCTAAACTCTTCCCTCCCGATCCCTTCCAAAATCTTCAAATAGATCAACTAAACCCACGTTCCTGATTAAAAAAAATTAAAAACCAAGTGTAAACTGCACTTCACACATGCTATAAAGACATGCAAATCCCCGCCACACACATTTGCCTTGGTGACTGCTGTTGCTTCTTTCAGCAAATCCTCCCCAGGTAGGTGAACACAACAGCCATCATAGAAGATGTCATGAGCAGCCAGAGTAAGTCAGGTTAACACTGGTTAGTAACGTTGCACGTGGTTGCAGGGATGCTCAAGTTTAGAATCCACTTCACTACAATAGCAGCCAGAGAAGTGTTAGACGATAAGAAAAAATGAAACAGAAGCAGCCGAAAGGTTCAATGTTAAAAGGACCGTAAGTGCCACTATGACAGGTGAAGACAGTGGTTCATACTCCAAGACTTGCTACAAGCTAAAAGGATATCCAGAATCAGTTTCACAGATGGGTTGTGGTTTGGGGTTTTTTTTCCCATTTGTCACCTTGTTGCTTAGTTTAAAGGAAAAAAAAACACATTAACAGTCTTGTCTGTCCGAAGAATGAGTTTCAGAAGAATGTAGCAGTAATAACTTTTTTTTTTTTAATTGTTTTAATACGAATTCTCTATTTGATATCCTTGATTTGTCCTCTTCTCAAACCCTAGAGCGTGGAGCTTCCACACACTTGCTAAGAGTTATGCATGTTTTGCTTCTTCATTACAAGTTTTCCACCTTTTGCTAAATGATTTTTAATGAGCAGAGCTTCAGGTTTCCACATGCTAGGAATGTTTGTTCAGGTGTACTGCCACCAGAAGTTAAGGTTATCCATTATTGCTTACTGCAACCAGGAATTAAAGTCAGATTACTTGTCTTTAAAGGATTATTAAGTTAAGACATCTCTTTAACAACCAAAGTCTTATGTATTATTGTGATACAAACATCATCAATAAAACACAGCCGTCGGTCTCTAATGAACCTCTATCTAACATCCTTATTTTTCACATAGAAAATTATGTTACATGAAAAATCAGGAACAATAACAGCAAGTTACTCTAAAACCAAAGGAAACCCAGGTCATTGACTCAGAACCACATGTGCCTAGACTTAAGACTTTGGGTAGAAGACCACAAAGAATGGGGGATATAATACAATTTGGTTTGGGAATGATGAAAGGGAGTAAAAGAAATACTGTTCTGCCCTATGGTCAGCAAGCTCCACAGCCTAAGATTCATATTATTCGAGCTTCTTGTGACCTTCTGTAATTTTAATATTCAAGAATCGCACTAGAGAATCAACTTCTAAATTTAGGTCAAAATATAAGCAAAACGCTGGTTTAGAAACAGAGCATAAACTCTTTGTGAGTTTACAGCCAACAAAATTTGCGGCCGAATGAAACAGCATCTAACAACCTGCATATTGCAGTGGAAACAAAAAATGCCCTGGAGGAAGACACTGTACAATCTACACATTCAAGGTTACGTCCAGAAAGGCAAAAGACGAACTACTCAAACATTAAGTCACAAATTCCACAGGATTATTCTTATAGGTTACAAAATTACCATATTACTACTTATGGGTAAAGCATGTCTTGCATATAAAAAGCTGATTAAGAGACACTATGTGGTCATTTGTGCACTCACTCAGAGGTTAACCAGACCAATTAATATAGGTACACACCCACAGTCTAGTATCAAGTGGTCACTGCAAAAGCATTATGACCAAAAAACCCAGGAAGATGATTTTAGCTCTATTAAACACATTTTCACATTCAATTTGTAAAGAGAGAACAATTATTTCTACTTCCTAGTAATACTAGCACAGCAAATATATTTAAGTTGTAAATTTTGGGGAACAAGAATTATGATTCATCTTTTTTTTGTACGGCACATCTAACAAATACCCAAATTGGTTGGAATCTCAGCACAAAACCAAAACAATCCGGTAAATAGGATTAGCCAGCTTCTTATATCCAAGATTATATTCCAATTTAGAACAAGAATGTTTCTATTTCAATATCAGTCTTACACAGTAGTAAATTAGAGAACCTGATATTGCAGCTGGATATTGCAGCAATGTAAATACTTTTAAGGTACATAAGCTGAAATGCATTCCCAGATTTCCCAATCATTATTCAACTACTGTTTATGAATGCATTAATCCTGTCCACTCCAGACTCTCCATACAGTGACACAGAAATGACGAGATGTGTCAAGAAGTTTTGTTGTCATCTAAAATATTCTTATTAAGCATTGTGATAAGCAGGATACTGCTTAACAGACCAATGATTTTATTTGACATGATCCCTTACAGCTAGGAAAGGTGTCCTTCACGAATTACATTGGTAATGCATGTAGGATAATCTCCCACCTTTGTCCACTAATTGAAATCAGCAAAACCAAAACTAGCTTAAAGAAATCAGCAACTTTATTGGAGTATTAAAAAACACACTATCTAGAGAATCTTCCCTTCATCTTAAGTATATGTGGAAACAAAATCCCTTCACAACACTGTTATAAACACAGCCTTATTTGAAGCAGCTCCCTAGACAGACAATTCTCACATCTTTAATTCATACAATAGATTCGGCATATGCCTGTCAGCTAAAATTTAAGGGAGGGAATTCCACTACTCGCATCTCCCTTGACACATAGCCAAAATTTACTTAATACTCAAACTATTCTTATTTTCACATCGAACTGATTTTTGCCGTATTACTTTCAGATATACAAATTTTAACTATAAAATTGCAGAGATGAAACATTACTTAGTCACATCTTAAATTCCTTTCTGAACTAAGTGTTGCTTTGGTTCAGAGTTTGCAGCCACTCCTCTCCAGCCAAGAAATTAGTCCATTGCAATGAAATAATTAGAGATGCAGAAGTCTAAGTGTGTAATATAAATTATATATATTAAAAAAAAAAAAATTGCTTCTACCTATGGAAGCCACAGTACTTTCCTCCATTCTGGTTTTGGGAGAAGGGGAAGACCTTTACAGTTTTAAACCCAGCATGCATTTAACCCACAGCTTTCACTGGTCTCAAACTAATACTACAAACGAATCATGATTTGGAAATTTTTTATTAGAATTCACGCACAACTACATTTGCGTTCTGGCTAAAACAGAACCCAATGTAGTTAAAACAGAATCATGAGACCCGGGTTTCTTAAGGAAATCTAGATTTTATTCCTGGGCTTGGTCTTGTTTTTAAAATTCACAGGGTGCTTGAAGGCTATATGCATTTTTATTTCTAATGCACTTCAGAAGATATTTGTTGAGAGAAGACTGAAGTCTTCCTATATCAGACTTAATTTGTCAGAGTTCCTATTTAAGAAGTAAGTGGAAAGGTAGAATTCCCATTGTTCTGAATGAATTAACATTCCCTTTGCACACTGCTCCCTAGTCACAACCCCACCATCGGCATGTGTACCATTAAGACCCTTACAAGGAACTCCATGCAGGGGGAGGGAGAAGGGTTAAAACATGCACAATGCAGCAACATTTTCAGACATCATTCAAAAAAATAGATCTAGCATACCAATGTTCTAGGAATCTCTTTGGCAGCACAAAATTAGTATGTTCTGGTGATCCAAGACAAAAATAAAGGCAAACACCCCAAGAAGTAGCTGTTTAGACTACTGAAAAGGAACTTCAGAAAACACAGAGCATGGAAATGCCCTTCATACAGGTTAAGTTGCAAGAAATCCAACCTGTCCCAACGAGAACTGATTAAAGCCTCTTCATTGTCAATTACAATCTCTGAATTAACATGAAGGAGCTCACTCACGCTAATAATAATTCACTGTAGACACAAAGTATTTGAAAGCAAAGGGAGAGCTGCATTGTGCAGACAACCCAAGCAGGTTTCCTAAACTTTCAGATAAGCAAGGACAGGAATTACTGTTTGCCAAAGGTATAGTTAATCAGAAGGACACATACCAGCCTTTGCTGCTCCAACAAGAGATCTGCTTCCTCCTTCTCCTTCTTATACAAAATCTCCATTTCTTGTAATCTGAAGATGAAAAAAAGAACAGAAGGAGTTAAAGAGGCCATTATTTTTATGTTTGTGTTACTCTACATGCACAGCCCACTGAATTACAGTTATGAGTCAAAGTTATTCCACTTAAAATGAACTGTTAGTTGTCTATTATAGTACTACAGATGTGAAACTTACTGTAAGTTGCAGTTCAGTCCTTCACCACAAGGTCTATAGGGTTAGTGGCAGCTGTTTATGTGTGATTTTGAAAGGAACTAGAGCACTGAATACTGAAGTAAAAAAATGAAGCTTTCTGAACTTACACAATACGTGGCAGAGATGCTGTGTTGCAGAACCTAGGTTTAGATTTTTCATGGACACTAGCCAAGTAACCTACAGCTGACTCCTCCTTGTTTCAGGTAGAAATTCTGAGTTATTTTGTTACCTTTTCTCCATCTCCTGCTTCATGTCAATGCCCTGCTTCTCCAGAAGCTCCCTCTGAGCAAATGTCCAGTCAACTGGCTCAGAGGGAGTCTCAGCTGACGGTGTTTTCTCTCTTTCTGCTCGTGCTTGTTCTGGATGGTTGAATCTGAAGACATGATTTTTACCCATGATGATACGATTTCCTAAAAATAGGAAGAGAAGTTAACTCTTTCAGGTAAGGATTTTAAAACCATTGAAAAACATCACTGAATGATTCATCCCATTTATCCTGTTGGGTGACAGCATAAGAAAAGATTGCCCTATAAGGATTTCTGTATACATTCAAGTTAACTAGGTGACAAGAAAAAAAACAGAATGCCTGCTTTGTATAGAACAAGCCACTGCTAACAAGAAGCAATGCTCAGAGAGGACGACAGCACCCTGGGGTTCAACCTAATATCCAAGCAGAGTTTAACAAAAATTAAAGGACAAACTTGGAGATTGACCAACAGTTGCAGTAAATAAAACAAATCATTAAATCCCATTCCTCTCCTCTAGTGACAATGCCAAAACATTTGCAGCTTGGAAAACTCTAACAATTTTCAGCCTGGAGAAATCTAACTTCAAGCACTGGAATGCATGGTGCTTTTCTCTAAAATGTGGTTTACATGTACGGATTTTATTGGAGTCCTAATTGGTGGAATTTATGGAAGAATTTTACAGCTTCTTTTACACTAATTTCAGAAGAGCTGAAGAAATCTAATATTATTAAGTCTTTCAGCTAAACCCTAGAGGTATCAGATGTCCACAAATCCTGAGACATGCATGTGATAGAAGATGTAAAATGCCTCTGCTCTTCTAGAGAGTGTACTAATGTAGTTAAAATTTTAAAAAGGTGTTCTAGTAAGTAGATCTCCAAAGTAAGCAAAATTGTCCTTATCAATATACTACTCAAAGACAGGCTCTTAAAGATTTCCAAGAGCATGTCTATATTCTTCTAGTAACTCAGTTATCTAGATGCAGAAGAAAACAACTCTACTTTTTTTTAAAATGAAGTAATTACTAAACAATAAAGTCACGGTATTCAATATGAGCCATATGCAGGCACAGAACAGCAGGAACTGTTCTTCCTTCACTGTCCAGACTTGTACTGAAGTCAGTACACTTGGTTCCATGAAAATACCGTCATATATATACACATTATAACTTGGTGCAAATAATTCAGAGGTGAAGGGGTTTTTGTTTGGTTGATTTTGAGTAGCTTTACCAGTAGGAAAAAAAAAAAGACACAGAAAGCATCATAGCTTAAAAGAGTTAAAACTCATAATTCAGGGAAGTCACTGCCTCCTCTCTAATTCTTCCCCCACATGCCCTTCTAAAGGAATATAGGGGACTGAGTGGGAAATCTAATGAGAGGAAAGAGGAGCTGTTGTACTCTAGCAGAGGGTCGTATCTTAGCTTTGCCAGGAAACTGGGAATTTTCCATCAGCAACTGGCAGTCTGTCTGCTCTGTCTCACTGAGACTGCCACGGGCAACAGACTTGGGCAAGAATGTATTTGAATAATATCAGGGTAAGCAGAAGGACAAGCAGGATGCTGCATGGCAGTGAATATTTTAAGTACACTTGCAGGTAGTGCGGCAAAGAATTAAAAAAACAAAACAAACAAACAAAAACAACCTGCTGCCAAAAGAGGGGTACCAACTTCTGCTTAGAAGCTACACTCCAAAAAAGTAATACTGCTGTCCTTTAACAGCACCCAGCATTCTCTACATAAGATCCAAGTGTCACATATGGATAATTCTTAGAGGGAAAGTCTACAAAAAAATCCATTCTAACATTTCTTACCTGAGCGCAACTGCACAGGCTGCACAACCCTCTTGCCATTAACATAGGTTTCTGATCGTTCACAAGGCTCCAAAGTAACAATAACTAAGAAGAAAACAACATTGATGAATGAGACTTTAGAGCGCATTGCATTGAAACAGAAGTGTGCAATCTTTAGAGGCCTCTCACTTTCTGCCTACCTTCCTACTAACACCAAAACAAGATACAAGTGAATCACTCCTTGATGCCTTGCTGGTTAAAAAAGAAATAATGCCCCATGAGAAAATCAATACTACTGATATCTCCACATATTGCAGTTGAAAATCATTATTTTTTTTGTTTGAATTGTCATGTTGATAGTTAACCAAGACCAGAACTTAACTCTGATATTGACTGCAGCCTGCAATTGGAAGCTATTATCACTTTTTCTTGAGGTAAACTTTCAAATACAGGTATTCCTGGGCCAACTATTAAGTGAGAAGTGAAAGATTCAGCAATACTTCACTAGGAGAAGTAGTTTTTTACCTTCACCATTGTTGTTCCTCTCACTTCGAAAGATACAGTGTTCTTCTTTGATATGAGCCCCACTCAATACAATGTCTTGCCTTCGCTCAGCATCAGCTTGGCCAACCCTGGGTCCAACAGAAGATATTTCAAGAGCAGATCAGACACTTTCTACAACTCTGTGTAGGACAATACAGCTCAGAAATATCCAGGAAAAAGGTCTAAACTATTAAGACTATCCTTCAAGTTCAAAGTTTTGAAATAGTGCTTAATTCTGCATTGAGGAGAACTTATCATCCAATTCATGGTAAATCTGATAACAGCTTGACAAAAAAAAAAAAAGTGTTCTCTCTTAAAACATTTAATTTAAAGAGATAATTGAATTGTTAAACACCTCTGGATTTAATGCATTTCCTTCCCTCTTGTGTACCCCCCTTGTCCCTTTAGCAAAGGAACACACAAATCAAAAAAAAAAAAAAAAGTGACAGGAATTTCCAGTGGTGAATTTCAGCTGGCAGACAGTGGTCATCTCTTCCAATAATCACCATCTGCACTTTAACAAAGGAGCAAAAAAAGGTCAGGAGACTCCTACCGAATAATTTGATGCCACAAGCAGTTTCATCCAGCTTCCAGACAGCAAGAGGTTGTCTGTATCCATGGAACATGAAGATTTATGTCTATTCCAAATCAAATATTTCAGCAATTCTAGATATGGACAACTTAATTTTCAATCCTAATGTTTACAAACTTCTTGCTTACTTACTACTCTACATATTTCTGATGTCAGCTAGGAAGGCTCAAAACTTATAATGATTTCTTAAGCCCTAAGCTATTCTGTTCATCACTGTGCTGAATTCTCTACAAGTTTGATATTCTTTTCAGTAGGACCTGTGCATAATTAGAGTAGTAGCATACCACAGGACCTGTCTGTGTACTCTTCACCATTTGTCCCCCAGGAATACATAAACTAAGCAACCAAACACAGCTTAGTGCGCTGAAGATAGCAAAACTCACCTCTCTTCTTTCAGATGTTTTGACAAGTTTGGGAATAAATTCTGTCTTAAATTCCAAATTTGGTAATTAAATTTCATCTCATATATGTGAATGCAGAATATATTAATCGTGCTGAGGCATTGATAACAGTTTATTTAAACAATCAAGTGAACACTCATCCATATTCCAGTTGCTTTTATCAAGTACTGTGGTTTCCAATCCTCCACCCATCAACATCTCAAAGGCACTTTCAGTAAGTTTTATTACTTTTGTTTCCCTACATTTTAGAAGGGATATCATGCTTTCTTTTGCTGCCCAGGTGTAGTTACAAACTTCCTATACAGCTCAGTGACTGCACACGTGACTTCTAAAGCACAAAACCAATTTAAAAGAAATGCATTTCTGTACTTTCTTCCACCTACAACAATCTCATGCTTCATTAGTACCTGCAAGTTGAATAACTCAAGGCACAGTTGTTACTTAAACTCATGGTGTCTCCAGCATGGGGATTTAAGCAAGCAAAGAGGCAGACTTCAGAGCATATTAGCACCAATCCTCACCTAGTAATACCATCTTTGATGTAGTAAAGCAGACATTCAGACATGAGTGGATCTTCATTAAGGTTTACAAGATGAGGCGTCTGAAAGAACAAAAAAAAAAAAAAAATTAATTAAGAACTGAGGACCTGCTTTCAGCCTTCTTCCCACAGCTGTGGAGGATGTGTATTAACCCAGCAGTTTTGCTACGTATATTGAGGTCATTCCACAATGCTTTTTTTCAAACATAACCTCCTGCAGTACTGAAGAGCATCACAAAATAACAGCAGAAATACAGATCAGATTGCTTAGTTAACTGAAATATCAATCAATAAAAGGAATAAAGGCTTCAGCTGGGAAAAAAAAAAAAAAAAAATAGATACCTGAAAAAAAAAACTAAAGTTTCTGAACCTTTGATAAGGGAAGTCCAGCAGCAGAAAAGGTTACTTCAGTAACATTTTGAAACTGATGTGGAATCAACTTTGGCTTTTCTTGGGCAATACAGGTCAGGTGCTCATTTGGCAAAGTTTGTTAACATCAAAAGAAAATCTAAAGCTACCAACATTCTCTAATACAAACTGCTAAAAAGCTCTTAATCTAAAGTTCCTCTAAATTTAAATCCACTACGGTTACTAAACCAACCTTCTTTGGTGAAAAAACCCCACTGGAATCAGCAAACAAGTCACAAGGCCTTGGTGTGAAAATCTAGCCAGTGAGATAGCAGTAAGCACGAGCACAAAAGAAAAGGCAGAAATGGTTAAACAGAATTAAAAAGAAAGGTGATAGAAGAGAAATAAAACTGTTAATAAGCCACTCGTCCCTTTGTTACCCTCAAATAGATTAAATTTAACAAAAGGAAATAAATTTGGCTACAATTCCTTGGCAACATCGCTTCCATCAACTTACTCTTGATGCAAAAAAGTTTAATTAAGACATGTTAACAGCACTTAGTTTACAGAAGCTCAAAAATTACTGGATGTTCACAATGAAATTTGTCTTTGAAAGAAGTCTGATTGTCAATTGCCCAATGGAAGACTTAGCTAAAAAAAGAAAAGGGGGGAAAAACCAAGACAACTTTTTCACCCCTAAAAATATAGGGGCCATCTAAAACAGCAGCTGAAGATGTCCCATGCCATCATCGCTATTCACTGCATTCAAATCAATATTTAGAGCTGTATAAATCTCTTAAAACAAGAGAAAACTGGAGAGAAACCACATCCCAGACATAGTCAACTGTTGTAACACCACTATGACTTGTACCACTTGGACACTTTGAAAATAATGCTGTACCTTATACATACATCTTTTAGCATCTGAGCTCATTTACTACACTAAATCGAGGTCCGAACGGGTCTTTCACAGGCAACAGAGAGCTTTGTAAGAAATAAAACTCAACAACTTCCAAGACAATGCTAGCAAAACCAACTATTCACTCATTCTGAGATCTGTTATTCATCCACAGACAGTTATGTCTTCAACTTTCTCCTGTACAGCATTCCTCAAGCATGAGCTGAAGGATTTTCCCTGCTCCCATCTTTGATGACAGCACAGGTAATTCAATTTCCACAATCCATTTCAAGAAGTTTCCTGCCATCAAAGGCAAAACTGGTAACACAGCAACAATTGCACAGCATGATACGTTTTAATTTGTGAAGTGGGCTAAGTTAACCTTAAGAGAGTTCAATTTACAGCTCAGCTGGTAAAAACACAGTGCTGTCTTAGTGGCACATGATTCGATATATACTGGTACCTCAGAAGCGTAAAGTCTTTATAAAAAAAAAAAACCTTCAACTTTTTCTCTACATCTACATTTTCACAATAGCAGCTACAGTTACTAGAAGGAGAACTAATAAAACTGGGGTGAAAGGATAGCAAGGAACAGAAGCAGGACAGGACTAGGTCAGGAGTTTTACTTCTCCTAGTATATCCTATATGGGTAAAAATAAATACTATCTATTACCAAAGTAACTACTTAATCCAGCTGGCATTGATACACAAACCTGATCAGCTGAAAATGCACCAAAAGAGTCATCAAAAAGAGCTGAGGGCGTCTGAGGGAAAAACTAAAAGGAGATGAGGATCCATAAGATAAGAGAAAGAAATGTAAAGAACACTCAGTGAATTAGCGCCTTCTTTACAAACCTTAGGCACTTCTCAAGTGGATACTGAAAGCAAACCGCAGTTGTACCTACTCCTAACGTAATAGTCTAACACTACTTTAAGCAAAGAATTACACATCTTAACCAATTCCACTGTACTGTATTTCTACACAATGTCTCTAGATAGGTCCCCATTTAATCTTAGATCAAGTCTGTTAAATACTTGCACATGCACCTTTCAGCTAAAATACTACCCTGTGCTTGTTAAAAAATTTTTGAGAAATAAGAAAGTACGTTCTTTTCCTTGTACTTCTTCAATAATTCTGATTTAACTGCATAGATAGCTTATGTACTATCTTGATCATTTTATATAGCACCCTGTTCATGCACAGTTCTCCTTCTTTTAAATTGCAAAAAATAGAACTATTGACACATATCAAAAGAAATATTCCCCTGCATCCCCCCTTGTTCAGTGGTTCATTAGATTACAATCCCTTTTTTCAAGGGGGTAAAAGGATTAACAAACAAATTCAGGGAAGAGCACCTAAACAAGACTTCAAAACTTTCCTGGGTATCTCAAAGGAGAATAGGTAGAGTACCTGGAGGTCACACACAGCTACTGCAGAAATGGCAACAGTCTAAGAGCAGCAGTTCTGAGTTGCTACCAAATCAACAGATATGCGAGGAGCTGCAAACACTTATTGCAACACAGACTTTTCTAAAGGAAGGTACAAAAAAGTTTAACTATTTTTTGATATCTGAAATCTCCCCATGAACTTTTCACGCTGCTCCTGTTTCATCACTGTTTTAGCTAGAACATGCTTCCCTACTTTAATGACCAATGGAAGCTACAACAGGCAATTCTTTCTGCAGATCCCTAAAAGCATGAAGCACTGTGTTCCATCACTTGCATGAGGAACAGCATCCAACTTCATTGTTATGGGCAAAATAATGCTTAGACGTAGAGTGTTTTGATAGATTCTAACACTAAAGCTATTTACAAAAAGATATTGTAAAAGGAACTTACTACTAAGGGTCCAAACCTCATTCATACTCTTCTGTACCTTACACAAATACAAGACCTTGTGTGAATGGTACCATCTCTTATCACCCTCTCCTCCCAGGTTGATCAGCCTTTTGGAGACATGATGCAATAATTATCAACTTTTTTTACCTTCTTAGGCGAGAAGACTCCGAGTGTTCCTCCATCTTCCCGAATGGCAACTCCCATTTCTGCCAACAATGCCTCCCTGAGAGAAAAACGCAAGATTTTTACCATATTTTACACTTCTAAGGTAAAATAAAGTCTAATGAAAGCGATGTGATGAAATACATTCGACTTTCAACCAGCCTATCCACTGACCATACAGCTAGGACAGTCACCACCTCGTAACATAATAGGACAAGTTTCTAAACTTTAGTCCTAGAGTTTATGGGCCTGCAGAACAGAAATATCAAAAATTTTACAGAGGTTTAATAGTATTTCAGTGCAGTAATGTATCACAAGGTAAGTACATTTTGGAACATTACAGTCATTGCTTCTTTAAGGAAGGTTAAAGTCTGTTCTAAATCTAAATATTTAATTTAGGTACAAGGAGCTACCACTATTCATTAATTTACAAAGACTTAACTGGCTCTTCCTGATCTAATACAGAAAGTACACTCTACCTCTTAAGACATAAAAAGGATTGTATTGGGTCAAACTGTTCATGTAACACAGTCTTCCTGGCTTTGACGAAGTACAACAGTGATGGCAACACAGAAGAATAAGAACATGGCAAATACTGTGATACTTTCCCCAAAGTATCCCCACAGTCTCCCAATTTATTCCTAAGGTATTTCCAAAATTAGTGGTGGCATTTCTTTTAAACAGCTATCCAAAGTGATTTTGTTGGTGGGTTTTGAGGTTTTGTCATCCTTTTTTTTTTTTTTTTTTTTAATTCAACTCCTACCAACATCAACATTGTGTAATGAAGACTTACACAGCTTACCCATGCATTGCAGGAGCTTCCTATTTGTTTCAAATCACCTGTTACCCTTAAAGTCCCTTACCTCTGTCAGTGAATAATCAATCTCTATCCACTTTCCTCGTATACCTCTCATGTTTTTACAGACTGCCTAATCACACTCTTTCCAGGCAAAGATGTTCCCCTTACACCTTTTGTAAGCTTTTAATATTCTAATAAGTAATGCTGTTTGGTCGCACCCACTTTCTGACAACTATTAAGAATCTGTCTTGTTGCTCTAAGACACAACACAAACCAAATCTAGAAAGCTGGAGCTGTTTCATAATTTTAAATACTCTGGTACTAAAAACTTAGTATTTATTGCTTAACTTTGGGGCCAGAATCTTTAGAAAGTAAGAGAATGGTGGGAGAAGAAAGAGATCAGGACTCCACACTGCTTCACAGCAGAAGCCCATATAGCAGCTTTGGATGTTACTTGAATTACAATGATAAACCAACTTGAACTGTAAGAAATATGGGAATACGGCTTTCTCTCAGCATTGCCCCTACTGTTATATGTAACACAAAGCTCAGCAGAATTATCACTAAGCACTAATCTGCTGTTCCATTGCCTCTGATCAGAGTAACGTTGTCCATTTTCCACAGACCATCCACATTTACAGCACTCCCAATTCCTGACCTTTCCATCCTAATGGCCTCAGTTTTCCTCAGCTTCTCTTCCCATGTTTCATTCAGCTCTGCAATGATCTTCTCAGATTCCTGTGTGAAAATCCCAGAAGCTGTTTTACAATTCTTCTCAAAGTTCTTCACACAGTACGCAAAGCAAGTGAAGTTTGTGCTCAGTTCTAGACCTCAAATTAATTTTGGATATAAAAAGTACTCTCAGCACTTCAAAACTCTAAGTTGATTTCATTAATTTTAAAAGGGTAAATAGCCTCAAAGGCAAGCTGAGAAAAGACAACTTCATATCTAACCACAGCCAGACTTTAATTTGAATCACCTAAGTTTTTTTTTCCTTTTTTATATTTTTTAAGATCTTATTTACAGACATCATTCAGCAACTGGATGCCAAGGAACTGCAGAGACCACACTGTTATTTCCATGGCAACAACGGGTTTCTAATAGGAAAGGGATATGCAGTGTGTGTTCCAGTCCATTCCAACCCCTGTGGCAGTGTCTCATGGACAAAACATGAGAATGAAGCGTAGATTCAATACTGCCAGCTCTTCCCACTCATCCACCCATGGAGATTGGGGGGGGGCTTTCATAAAAATTAAGAAATACTTCACTGTAGTGCATTTTTGATGTGGTTCAATTCTATGCAGAATTGAGACAAGGCCGCTATTGTCTGGATAATGCGTGCTATTCTGTGTGCTTCACATTTTAATCTGTGGGGGCTGGGCAAACACAACAGTAGCAGGATTATTCTTCCTCCCTTTTTCAACTTTGGGGTAATTCGGCTTTCTGAAAGCAGAGTGCATTTGCCAGTCAGACTTTGTCCACACTAGTGCTGACCAGGCCTCCTAAAGTCTATACTTATGATCAAATTTTCCATAATTACCACTGCATCAGAGAACCTGTAAACAAGAATCAAGATTTTAATTTATAATTTAGTTGTTGCTCCAGGCCACAATTAAACCTAAATAATCCTAACAGGAAAGGCTGTGCCAGTTTCTACCCCACCACAGTTAGAGTGCCCTTTTTAAGGTGCAAGTGGGTTTCAGGCAACTTCCTACAGAAACAACAGCATACTGAATATATTTATGAAGCAAAGTTCTCCTGGGTTCACTGCTATTTAGCCTTGGAAAAAAACAAAATAATCACCTCCTTAATCTACAGTGTTACCCACCTTCAAACGTTCAATTGCCTCTTCTCCTCCAGGTGTTGACATAATTCTTTCCTGTATACTGGACACAGATGTTAAGCCCACCTGACTACTGAGAGAGCAGGAGGATGGAGATGCAGTGAGGGACCCCATGGAGGCTGTGGAAAAATTGCCAGGACGTTGATTCTCGGAGGCTAGCAAGTATCTATGTTTATTGTTCTGAAAATCTTTCAAATCTGGGAGAGAGACACACAGACAGAGGGAAGGCAGAAAGATGGGGAAAAAGGAAAATAGGAAGAGGGAAGGAAGAGGAAAAAGGAAAGGAAGGAAATACCAGTGTAAGAGGAAAGCATTTAAGCAGCAACAAGACAAGTTTTTTAATTTTTAGATGGCAGTTCTGAAACAAATCTTTTCATATTAGTGTCTACAACATAATAACTCAGTTCAGACTCTGAGGATTATTAGTAAGGGCTGCATCATAAACCATTCTGATCAAAAAAAGCTTGAAAAAATAAATTCAATATTTGCCAACAAAAAAAACCCATCCTATTGCTAACTGAACAATAAACTGAGCACCATGGAGCTCAGACCAGGAGCAGATTCAGTTCCTTATATTAGTGACAGTTTGGGCTGGAGTCTGAATAGACATCAACCCCCTAAATTCAGTAAAACATTCTCTACCAGACTCCTTTAATCTAAAACGATGATTCAGTAAATCTTTATCACAGCAGTGGTTCTGCTGCTGAACCACCCAGACTAGAAGGACAAATAACAACCCCTCCCTAAATTCTCACAGGAGAATATGTAAATCACCTGTCAGTCCATGCTGGGGAAAAGAGAACTCAAGTTCACAATAACATCATTATGTTACTTCATGATGCTCCTTATCTGAAAAATGTAAATCTAAGATACCTGATGAGTGAAATATCTGATAAGGCTCTCCTACTTCAGAAAGTGTTTTAAAGCTTTTTGGTCTTAGTTTAGATGAGGAAGGTCTTAAACCTGTCCGTCCCCCCCCCCCCCCCGCAATGTAATAAGGCAGCTTTTATAGCCTGAAAACCTGGAGGCCTGAAAGATGCCTCCTAGAAAGACAGAAAACAAGGAAAAGGTATATCAATGATTTGAGAACGAATATCCAAAGGCAATTTATTTTAACTTAACTTAGCTTCTCAGATATGCCTGTAAACCATATCCTCAGAATAATCACACACCAAAAAAAAAATCTAACATGGAAATATCAGACAACTAAATAGCTCCGTTTTAATAATTTTGATAATTTTAAATTTTATTTCAAAAACAAATCCTTTAAAATAAGTATCCTTAGGAAAGAAACAGGTCAAACCAGACCTTTCAAGTTATAAACAAGGGCTTCACACTTACAAAAATGAGATGCTCACCCAGACATTGCATAAATTTCCATATCCTCCTACATCTCCTCTACTCTTATCCTGAACAATTCTGCTATTGTCAGCCTTATGCCCTAGTTCACTCCACATTCAACCTGCTGTTTCAGCCTCATGAAACTGATGACTGAATCAAGTCAGTTTGAAAACCACCATCTGCAAATACAGGAAGCAGGGGTGGGAATTTAACAGAAGAAAAGCAGGTTAAGGAAAGGGAATGCCATCGGGATGAGGAAAGCAGGCATGACAGAGCAGGGAGGATGAAGTCTCAAAGGCCAATAAACACATGCACTCCTGAAGATAAAGGAAGTGGCACTTGCAATAGCATTCACAGTTGCTGTGACCACAGAGGACCAAAACCCTCAACATCATGCACACTTCTCCTGGAGGCTGCAGCTTTCACACGGATGGCATATGCACGTGCTGGAAGCAGCATCAGAACATAAGACAAGGCCAGAATGAGTCTTTACACCACCAGTAGCTTTAATTTTAGGAAATTTCAGACAGATCTCTTCCAGTTCATATTGTTTGAGTGAGGGTGAAGAAGACTGACTGAAAGAGTTTAAAAAGTCTACCAACCCAAAAGTTACATAGAATATATGTCTCTTGCAATGGACTACATGTATTTCCCTTTCACAGAAACAAACAGTAGAACAGAAATAAAATGCTATTTGCTGACTGGTTTTAACCCTGTTGAGTTAATCATTTGCAACCAAGCATCTGAGCTCAAATAAGAGACCTTCATCAGTACAAGATGTGCATCTAATTTTTTTTTTTTTTTTTTTTTTAAAGAGACTACACAAAATAAACCAGTCTCAGTCTCCAGGAGGAACTGATAACATTTCATCTTGAGTTAATCAATTGACACATTTAAAATAAAGAAATACTTCTAGGTAGAAAAGAGATGTTAAAAGGCCAGGAAGCAGAAGCCATTTCAACTGAGTAGCTTGAGAAAGAGTTGAGAAAAAGATGTTCTAGTTCAAAGCTAAACTGTTGGCTCTCATGACAAAAGACTAAAGAATTACCATTCTATATTCTGCCAGAAAGCAAGCAATGAACATACGTTGCATTTTAAACTCTGCACTTTTTTTTGACTGTCGACTCAATCTAAGAAATGCTGGTTAAGCTAGTTTCCATGAAACTGCATTGCATTCCACAGTGAGCGTTCTGTCTGGGATTTCCCTGTGAGAAATGCTGGCATGCAAAGCTCAGTTAAAAGCTGACCCAGAGAAAGCAGGTTAAAAAGAGAACCACACAATACACACATTTGCCTCCACTTCCAGAGTATTCATCTCCCATTGGATCAACTGAAAGGAAGCAGGAGGGAAAATACAAGAAGGATCAAAATTGAAGGTTCACTAGCCACAGGAAGGGAAGAGAATACTACTTGATTTTTAAAGAAACAAAACAATTTTCAGTAACACATAGTATTTTCAGTTTTGATTTAGAACCAAAACCCACAGACTGTACCAAGCATGAAAACACCTGCATTTCATTGTCTTCTGGCCCCATTCTCTTGAAAACAAGCAAACAAAAAGGTAAATAAAGGTTACACATCCTTACGCAGTCTGTAACTAAGTCAGGACTTCTGCTTCACAAGCAAATAAGGTCTGACAAATCAGAAACTTTTTTTAATTTATATCTTTTTTGAAGTCAAAGAATCTTTTAATCCACTGGAATACATTCTGTGGTTTTACTGGCATCTCCTTCACTAGGAATTAAATCACTGTTCATATCATAGAAGAACGTAGCAGCTAAAATTTTAGGGGTTTTGCCATGTTTGCAACAAGGACAAGGAAGTAACTTGGGCACAAGTGTGTTCTGGTGCTTTAAGAGGTTGCTGGCAAAGCAAATCAGTACAATACTGCCCTGCCAATCTAACTCAAAATCTTGCCCCAAAAGAATTCATTATTTATTCACAGGCAGCTGTTTGATAGCTAGTTATTTTGAGATGACAAATGATTTGTCACTCAGGACACTGTCTAACAGGAATTAGCCATCATTTTCCTTTCTGAGCAAGGATGGCGTTAAAGGCAGGTATCAACTAATAACATTAACCCTTTAAGGAGGAAGAAAACATGCTTTCTTTCTCAGTATGAAATTAAGTTTCTGTATTTCAACTATCTTCCTTTTATTGGCAGCCAGAGAGAAAGCCCTCCATAACTCACCAGGGCAACTCCTGAATGTGTAAGTTCTATTATACAAAATCATTTCTAAAGTAACAGAAATTCAGTGTCCATGTTTTCCCTTGAGTGTTTGAAGATGGCCTGTCAGCTCTACAGACAATCCTAACATCAGTTGTTTGAAGACACATGACGGTACCATTTCTAAAACCATGTTCAAAATTTAACATCAGCACCTATATTTAACCTCCAAGTTTTAAACCCCTTTCTCTCACAGCCCCAGCTCTCCCTCCTTGGTAAGAGAAACCCACCTCAAGATGGCAAGAGGTCTGTTTAATCCACTTACTGTCAATAATATCTCCCAGCCCTTGAGCACGCAGGAGATCCTTAAGCCTTGTCACCTCCTCCTTCAGCTCACGCACCAGCTTGGCATTGGGATCTTCATTGATAACAGCATTGCATTTAATCTGTTTTGCACGATCAGCATATCTGGAATCAGACCAAAACAATGAAACCTTACAATGAACATATAAATCCTTCTATGCAACACAGGAATGCAGCAATACAGGAGACATATAGGAGACATTTAGCTTTGAGCTGTACATCAGAAAAGAATCCTGATTATATTCAATCATTCATTTGAATTCATATTTAAGACAGGGTATTGCTGCAAAAAAGACAAGTCCTATTCAAGATGGATTAACAATATTTACAACAGACAACACGTTTTTTTCTTTTTTCTTTATTCAGTCCTTTGAAGCCTAAGCTTGACTAATATGCTCTATTTTAGGGACTGTACTGGAAAAGAATATTTGAATATGAGAAAATGAGTTTGATTTTTCAAGCTAGGAGTAGGCAATAAATGCCTAGTTCTCTATTCACATACAATAGATTGGTTTTCCTCTTTCAGGGTGAGTTCTTGCCAGTATGGTCGTCTTCCCCCAGATTTTGTCAAAACATAACAACACAAAGGTTTGAAGGATAGAATGTGGCCATTAGAGCTAACAGCTACCCATATCCATCTCAGATAAAAAGAAAGTACCTTAAAGTGCTCAAAGTTTCATCGTAGTTTATGTCTGCTGGGCTCAAAGCAGCAACCATCGCGGTTCTGGAGTTACCACCTATAATGAACAGGCAAAATTTCAGATGAAACTACAGTGCACAATCTAGGCACTAATTGCTTACTAAATACCAGTATTTTCAATAAATTATAGAGTTCAACTATATTCTACATTACTAAAGAACATTAAAGAAATCATAGGAAAGAGAGTTGTATCTTTAATAGAAGGTCGAACTACATGACTCAGATGTGACTACTAAAAATGTTTAACCTCATACTTGATACAAATTCAGGTTAAGGAAGTTCAAAGCAGTCAGAAAATGTAGTTAGAATTTCTTTCCATATTGGCATGGGGAAATCAGCCATACCTAGATTTTCTCGAAGAAGCCATGTTAGTACAGAATCCCTGTACGGTATGAAGTCTGTCTTCTTCTTTTTTTTACTCTACAAAGAAAGAACATACTACTGAAAAATAAAACACTGAATGGAAAAACATTATTTAAGACATAAAAATCACAGTATAGGTATCAAGAGAACCATGACAGCATACACATGCTATCTAAACAGAAGGGTGGCTCATCCTCAGTTGTACAAGTGATTGCTGAGTTAACTACTAGATAACATGCAACATATTCAAACATCTAAACAGATGATAAGCAGTCCAGGGAATTCCCTTGATGCACTACCTTCAGAAAGGTTTTTCTGTGTATGAATAATATCTTCCTGAGATATAAATTCTCTGTTCCAACACCATTCCAAGAGGATTTAGGCAGTAAGCCCTCAGTCACTCAGAAGATTCACTTTTCCTTTGCTAGAAAAGTTATGTCTTTTTAGAGCAGTCAAAAGTCTATTACAAGACTGTACAGCTAAAGAGATACAGGTGTACACGTCAAAGGACAACTACCCAATCTTCTGTTTCTGTAAGGAATTATTAGAAAAATTGAGGACAGAAAAGCTAAAAGTACTCGGACACTGAAATTAGAAGTCTGAATAGAAAGAAGGTGGTTTGTGGGGTGGGTTTTTTTTTGTGGTTTTTTTTTTTTTCTTTTTTAAAAGACAAAAACTTCAGAGAGACTACTCAAACCAAAGCACAAGGCCACAAGACAAGTGCCCAAGTATCTAAGTACTTTCTCCCAAAATCAGTAGTGACAAATGTACAACTTCCATAGAAGAGAGGAGGGCCTTCTCAGCACGTTTAGCAGACTGCCCTCCGAATTTTGTTGTAAAGGCTTTCCCTAGCTTCATTATGTGGTCTAAAAGAAACAGTGATTAACTTCAAAAGTTCTGTAATAGAATGTGAATCTTGACTCATCCATTTACTTACACAAACAGCAGGCAAACATCTTGCTTCAAGAGATACCAAAAGTTTAATTCCACACAACATTTAACATGGGATATGGCTTTGCAATAAAAGGCCCAATTATAATTTGTGCAAAATTCCTCTTAACACTCAACAGGTGCTTAAAATGTGAGTGTTAGTTTTACAATAGTTCTATTGTCCCTTGTCAAAGGTGAATAACCTTACAATGGACAAGTAAAAGTACTAAGGGCAGTTAAGAACCAGATGCTAAAGCTGAAAACTACAATTGTCTACTGCCTACAATTTGTCATTCAGGGTACAAGAAAAAAGCATTGAGGATACATGAAAGCAAAGACAAAGTTATCCACACTAAAATTAAATATTCCTAAGATAAGTCACCAAATCAGGAGCAGGAATGTAACAAGAGTATATTCCTAAATACGTACTTAAACGTATACTTTTCATTAATTTATCCTCAATCTTAAAACATTTTTAAGTTTTAGTACTGATAATTCTCAGGCTTCATGACTATAGTTTATAGACATTGGAATTTCTCAAATATGTGACATAAAAGATCCCTGCTCTTTGATTCCAAAGTGAAGAGAATAAAATCTTATACTCAGGCAAAAAAGACAACATCCACTACTACTCAGACCATCATACCTTGTTGGTGCAGTTATCCTAAGTAGAAAGCATTAAAGAAAGAGGAATAAGATAGATGAGCTTCTTAACAGAGCTTTATATATAGTTTCCATGTTAGGTTGGATAGTATTTTCTTTTCTTGAGAAGCCCAATGAATGAGAATAGTTTTCATTTTAAAAAAATATACTCTAAAAAGCACTTAAGTATATTTAACCTGTCCAAGCTGTTGAGAATTCATTTTTAAAAGTAACAGCAATAATTTACCTGTGATTTTTTAAATAGTAGTTGAGTATAAAAGACAAAGTACTTTTCTAAACCTACAACATTATGTTTGGATCAACATATGCTCACTCAACTCAAGCACATTATTAAGTCTTGCCATTGCAAAAAAATCCAGCGATAATCAAATTATGACACTAGTATTTCTAAAGTTTTTAACAACTAAGCTGCAGTTGGTTTTCTAAAATTATTCTCTCAAATAAAAATACAGTTACTGCTCTGAAGAACTAAAAGCTTGCTACAGGAACATGTCTTCTACACACACGCAGGCTTCTTTTGCAAGACTTCACAGCTAAATAAACCAATGCTTCAATCTATCAACAAATGAAGTTTCTAACAGCCTGCATGACATAAACAGAACGCCATCAAAACTATTCATCTGCTAAAATACACACACCTAATTTGGCTGAGAATGCTAGGCCAAGAACAGTGAATGATTCTGCTGTACTCCACTGTTTTTACTGTCTCAGTTTCACTAGTTATGGAAAGGTTGTTGCAGGTAAATGCTGTACTTACCACTTCAGCCAATGCTGAAATAACTTTGCCCAGAGTTGTGAGAGACTTGTTTATATTTGCTCCTTCCTGAGAAAACAGAATCCAGTATTATATAGTAATTAAAACTGTTTAATCATGAACCTTTGTAGACTAAACAAGCCAAACGTCACATCCACGATGAGAGGGGAAAAAAAGTCTTCAGTTCTGCAACTAGTTTTCCCATACTTATAATAGTAATCCTTTATTTTCCTTATTATTTGTCAAGCGAAGACTGCACATGCTTGTGCACAAACTTCCCTTTCTTTCCCCACACATCAGTGGCTCAATACCTTTAATCGAGTTCCTTTGGCACCAGTTGAATCAGCCCGCTCACTCCCAGCTAGATCCACAAGGCTAATCTTGCTGACCTGAAGAGAGAAAGCACATTAACAATGAGAACTAGCTCTTGGTGAACTACAGTAAGAACAAAACTTCAAAGAATTCTATGGTATGAGAAGAACTATACCGTCTTAAAAAAAAAAAAAAAATCACTGTAGTGTGCTTAAAACTACAGCCAAACAAAGTTTTCACAGGCAATTAGCCCGATGCTGTTATCTTATGAATCAGTGCCTGGAATTATGCTCTGTTTTACATATCACTACACTCTACTTAAAAAGAGAGAATGAGGTCTCACATGAACAGAGCAGAACAGAAGTCAAAAGAAATTGTTACTACTAGAGACAACACAGGAATCTCAAAAGATGAACAAACTTAAAGTTTCATCCTGACTCTAGTGATACCGACAAAGCACAGGCCTAACCAAAGCTACAGACTGCATGTCAGTTAACATGAACATTACCTGTATTTCAGCTACTTTTGCACGCAGAGCCTCTATTTCAGAGTAATAAAAGCCAGAAAACTGTTCCATGCTAAATAGTGTACCTCCTTCTAACATGCAAATTCCAGGAAGTGCCTAAGTCTCACTCAGCCCAATTCCTGTGCCCAAAGAAAAGCACTAAGGATGCAAATATTTTGCACTGACAAGCAAAACCACAGAAAGTTCTGGGAACAAGATTCGGGAAGATTAACTACTTCTATTTCATATATCACTCCCCATAGAACCTAGTCCTTAAGGCCGTATTTTCCCTCATCTATATATTCTCCTCCTGCATGTATTCTCCATCTAGTTGTTTTTAGAATTACAAACAAAATCCCATAAGAAATAAAAGGGCTCTGGTAAGGCACACATCAAGTTCACCCTTAAACAAAACATCAGAAAAAACAATTAATCCTCATTTCCTCACCATACAGCCAATTGTCATGGTTTGAACCCAGCCATCACTGCAGAGAAGATTTGTGAAAAACAGTCAGAAAGCCACTTATCTGTAACATACCTTCTCTGTGGAAAGATCAGTTTCTGTGTCATGTTTCTTCTGAGTAAAAACAATTGTAAACACAGCATGAGAGCGGCTGCTGGTTTCATTCATGTTGGTAGCTGCCACAGTCCTACAATATGAACAGACATAGAAATGTTTAGAAACCAGTAGCCTCTATGCTGCAGGTATAACTACCTGCAGGGCTGAATGCAGCTGTAGAGGAATGAGATCAAGAGGCAGTACAGTTGGTGTTCTTGCCCTGTAACCAAAAACCAAGCCACACCAAATAGCATTAACAAACCCTTTGATTGTTCACTCCTGAATTACTCCCATCTTAATCACATCTTAAACAGAGCTTCCTCAATCTGTGTACTCAATAAACTACCTTACACGACAACACCCGAGAAAACATGAGTGGCATTTATGTCAGTCCTTCCCACACGTTGTTAAATGGAGCCTAGAGCTGACATGAAAACAACTACTAATGAACCAGAACCTAAAGCTAGAATGCCAACTTCAGTCCTGACCACCTGAATGAATGAAAGAAAAGACTGTGTTCACATGTTTATTTATACCAATATAGTGATACAGTACACAACGAAGGCAGAACTAAAATCCAGCATAATTATTTACATACTTCATCTCAACCCATCACAAGCTTTAAATAGCTATACAGAGACTGCAGCACTATTTCATCACAGGAATCACTTTCAGCCTTTTAATAGCACTGATCAGTGCATATTTCAACAATACATGTGACATGAGTTTTTTTAAAAGCGCTAGTGCATCACAGAAGATACTTTAAATTTGCTGCTATATGACATATATCCCCACAACAGAGATAAAAATATATAACGTGCTACCAGCACTAACCTGGCTTTGTTCCCAGCATCCATGAGGTCTGCAATGTCTGTGTAAGACGTGACGGCTAACTTGGACAGATCTTCCACATACGGTCCAAGCAGAGGATGTTCTCGCACTCGCAAATTCCCTTTGTTCTTCGGGTTCAACAAGTCTCTGACTCTCTCACAGTAAATCTCCATGTAACTCACCTGAAAACAGGAATTTGCATGGACAATTTAGTGTTTCTTAAGCCTTCCTCTGCAAGCAGCTCTGCAGCATTTCAGAGAGCCACTGGTAGAAACTCCCCCAGTCCAAAATAGGAAAGCTGTAGGCGGATGTCTGAGTTCATTTAACAGCTTGAGACAATGGCAGAAGGGAAGAAGAGTCACTAGTCTCACACATCAGATCTCCAACACAAGCTGCAGGCCTTGCATCTATATACGGATCCCTCAGCCATTTCCAAAACCACTGGTGTTTAATTAAGAATTATACACTTGAGTTCACAATCATCTTAACAGCTTTAATATGACACAGCAGCAAAACTATCTGAAGAGGCAAACAAGAGAGATGGCAAAAGGAGTCTGCTTACAAGGAATCTCTTATGAACCTCCAAAGCAAACTTTAGAAGGAAAAAAAAAAAATTTTATTTGTATGCAGAAACAGCTTTTGATTCTAAGCTGTACCCACGTCCTGCTGTATTCCTGAGTCATCAGTACAATCATTCAAACTATGGTAATCTTAAATCTGCACCCTTTGAAATAAATTATAAAGCTAAGATTATTTTTAAACGCATTCTTTCGTTTTTCTCATGGCACTAGGATTATGTCAGCTGACCAGGCACTTAGCAGCTGCAGCAGTCAAAATGTTAAATATTAAAAGAGACAGTAAGTCATTCACTTTCATTCTGTGGAAAGATTATAGATGTAAGCAGCAATTTAAAAAATGTAGAGATTTAAGATCTTTTTTGCAATTCAGAAAAATTAATTCTATATCCAAAACAAATCACAACACACTAATTATACATTTCCATCACTATTTCTGTCTAGCTGTCTCTTTTCTCTGCTTATTTTTCAGATGTTCATTCTTTTGGATTTCCATTATAAGAGGGACTACTTATTTCTCTCACATGCACGAATCTATACTTGGACACATAATCAGAACCATAAACAAGTTGCAAATAGAAAAAGCATCATGAAAATGTGGGAATCTTCTTATTCGTAAATTCTAAATGTGATACTCCTATGGTATTCAAGCATTAAGTCATCAAATTTAATAAAATACAATTAAATGAAGTGTTAAAATGGACAGATTCAAAGTCACAGAACTAATCATTCCTCGGTTCTGTAATCTAGAAGCAGTAATGATTGGAGTTCACATTTACTAATAATAATCATATTTGACTTCTACCAGCTTTTTCATCTTCCTTTCTTTTGAAGCCTGCAACACATATGCAGGTTAAGCCATTCAAATTAGCTGGGGGAAAAAAAAAAAAACAGTAAAAGAAATAAAAAAGCAGATGTTTTTGTTTTTATTTTGGAGCAGGGCAAGGAGACAAGACAGAAAAAGAAATGGTATAGTATGATAGCATATGAAAAGCACTTTCTAAACACAGACCAACCTAAGTAAGGATAATAATGAAGAAAAATTAAGTACTGGCAAATTTCTTATGTAAGCACAGCTTAAAAAATTTTTTCTGTAAACCAGCCTTACTAACAGATGTCAGGTAAGACTATGTGACTAAGCTATTCTAGACAAGTCCTGTAGAGAAATAGGGTATAAATTATGACAGGAAACATGTAGTCTTCCACCAGGAGTAAAAAAAAAAAAAAAAAATCTTTAGGTTTTTACAGCCCACCATTTCTTTCAGAATTGCTACACAGGTAAAGGTATACTAATTTTCTGGTGGAGAAAAAAAGTCCCAAAAAGGTTTTAGTTACATTTGCCTCAAAAATGAAACAAAGAAAAGACATAAAGTGTACCCCCAATACAATCAAAAGTCAGCATCTTGGAGCAACATCAATAATGCAGCACCTAAGTTCAGTCTGATGTCCAGCACACAGATGTTTTTTGATCCCTCACCATACTCACCTCTACAGAATATGACATTTCTTCATTGCTGTTGTCATTGATTTTCTCAAATAGTTCTTCACATAGCTGGAAAGAAAATGAAAGTCAGAAATTAGTCTTTACCAAGTAGTAACAAGTAACTACTACGACATGTCATTAAATTGACTTTAGAGTGAGGACAGGGGAAGAAAAAAGAATCTATTAAATCAACCACATACAGCCTTCACTGGGAAGATACTTAATATCAATTCTACACCACTATCATTCAACCTTATTTTATACAGCATCTCAACAATTGTTCTAGGTTTAACCAGTATTATTATTCTGTACTACGAAATTAGAAAACGCCTATAATAACTGAAAATGGAAATAACGTCTTTAGAAAATTATTATTAAAATCCTTAATCCTCTCCTAGTCTCATAAAAACAACAGTCTGTTTATTCGGTGTGCTGAAGTTCCAAGATTCAGATTTAAATACATAGGCAAAAATTATTTCAAAATTTTTTAACTATCTTATATGAAATATACTTTAACTATCAGCAGTCTAATGCTTCAAGAGTGTTTGTCTGCAAGTAACTAAAATTAAGTCAATGATGGAAGAAGAAAGGAACAGTGGGCAAGCCGTTAAGCCATTAGTATGTATTTGGAGATTAAAAAGCATGGGTAGAGAAAGAAATAAGAGTAGAAAGGTTTCTGGAACAGATGTCTACAAGCCACTGTATGAAAAATAAACAGATTACAAAGAATACAGTTAATTTTGAAAGTACGCACTCTGAAGCATCCAGTCAACACATGGTTAAAGTATCATAAAGTTTCACACTAGGGACTGGCAGACAGGGAATTTTGCCAACACATAAGAGTTTAATGTCAACAACCTGTGTTACTTGGAACATGATTGTGCTGTACCTTCTGTGTACTTGACAAGAGAACGGATTCAATAAGGTCTGTCTAAACAGCTAATTCATTTTATACCTTTATGAGAAGGCCTCTGATGAAATTGGAGTTTGTTTTAAAACTGTAGTAGATAACAGGAGCATTAACTAAATCTATGGAATCATTATTAAATTGAGGGGTTTTTAGGACAACATTTTATCTGTATGTATTTGATCTTTCCAAAAAATAAATAGGAATATCAAGATTACAACCAAGAATTTTAGCACCCAGCTGCTGTCACAGATCTTCAGCTCATTTCCCCTTTTACACTGTTTTATTACACTGTAATAAAACCAAAATGCTTAGATATATCAATTCCGTCCTTCATCACATTAGCTTTCATCATTATTTTAAGTTAATCACCAGAACACTTGCAACCTATTTCAGAACATATGCCCACGCTCTTAACAGAGAACAACGCTCTATGTTGGCTGTTTCACACCTGTGGCACAAGGCCAACCTCTGCAAACCTGCAGCCAAATGAGGACTCAAGGTGTTCAGCGCCTGAAACCCAACCTCAGGTGTCTGTGTTGGTAATGGAGGAATACACTTTCTTCCAACAAACTTGGGCCAACGTCAGCAGCTACACACAGAGGAAGGCCTGCATTTAGAAAAAGTGTCACACATCTGGCTGCTACAGAATTCATGATGACAGTAAAATTGTTGCCAGGCAAAATTGCTTGTCGGGGTATCTCAATCATGGCAAATACCAAAAACAAATTTCAGGGGGGGAAGTTGCACTGGGTTGTGCTCAGTTGCTGTAAATATTTTTTTCCAATGTTTTGATATCCTTCATGTCTTACCAAGATATATTATTCAGTTTTTAGCTTTGGGAAAGTTGTTTCCACAAAATGTTTCTGTCATGTTCATCACTAATACCACCTTCTGTATTCCTGCTGAATACAAAGTGGTTAAGTGCTGTCCTAGCTCAAGTCAGAGAAGGAAACAAGAAATTCAGTGAGTAAGATCTCGATTCACTAGTTTGTTGGGGAAGGGGAGAAATTGAATGTAGGAAAAATACAGAGTGTACAGTACAATTAAAAAAAAAAAAAAATGTAACAGGGAGAAGTACTTATAATGCTCTTTTTCCCCAGCAGTTTTCTTTCCCTTCAGAAGTAAGCTGTGGTGCTCTGTTAACTGTTATTACAATATAAAAATCAGAAAGTGTGTGTCTGAACATGCTATAAAAAACAAATCCCCTTTCTGGGTTCTGTTCTACCTGGGGGATTATGCCTGCCTGGCTCTCCTCCTGCTTGCCCATCATCGTGTAGGACTTCCCAGCTCCAGTTTGTCCATAGGCAAATATGCATACATTGTAGCCCTCAAAGGCATGCAGCAGCATCTCCTTCCCAATATCATTGTACACACGGCTCTGAGATGCAAAGCAGGGATCTTCAGGCTGGAAAGACATGAAGAAAGCATAAATACAGTCCTATCCTATCATTCAAGTAACATTTCACAAAGCAACTGGTTGGGTTTTTTTCTACTTCTATCTTGCAGGTCAGTCACTTGGGAAGAGGCAAATGTAGCACATTTTTACACACAGCTTTTTCCCAAGGCAGAGAAGAACAATGACAATGCTTGCAGGACCACTCCACCAATGCTCCACCAAGAATTCTCTTTGGTGAACATTGTTGACACTACTGGAAAAGAGTCATGCAAGATCATTGACAAATGAGACTCAGGGTGTTTGGAAGGAGGGAAGCGGGGAAGAAAAAAAATCAAAAGTAGAGTTCAGAGAGTCAAAACAAATTAATAGAGGTCTGGAAGCTACAAAAACCCCACAGTGACTGGTCTTAACAAGGGCTCTGAAGAGTAGCAGAGGGAAAAGAGAAGCCGAAGTTGCTTAGGTTTATTTTGTTGGGTTTTTTAAAGACTAAAAGAGTTTAACCAAATCATTAAAATGACCAAGGTTTTCTTGCAGCTGTCCGATTCCACTGTCTAATCCAATCCAGGTTTCTACTTACAACCTCACTGGTGACTACAAAATTCCTATGTATGTTAATACATATTTCAAATTAGCAAGTACCTGAACCAGTCAAGGACAATGTATCAGAACATTCTTCTAAGGCTAAACTCAAGGTTAGCAATAAAACTGAAATATAACATTCAATTAAAGAAAGAAAAAAAAAAAAAAAAAGCCAATGAAAGCCAATGTAAAGCTATTTAGCCCAGGGATAAAACAAACAAAAACTCTACTGCAGATGCATCCAGTGATAGAAATTTGTATAGGGACAAAGCAAGTTATCATCTTCAAACACTTGACTAAAATGTTTGTTACATTTTAAAAAGGCATCAATACATGCAATGAAAAAAAATAACACGGTAAAGATGTCAAAAAGAATACACTTGCCAGATCTCAAGGCAAGTACAGAACCTGTTCAAAACAAGTAATTTCTAGGAGTAGTGAATTTCAGGCATGGCACTGATCAGACTCCAACATTCAGTCAGAGGCAATCCAGGATGCAGCTCTAGGCATGGTACAGGATACAAAAATACTGATAGAAAGCTGGGTTCAGTGTATATGCTCTTTTTTTTCTGATGTCCTCTCTTGATCATTCAGGAAAGCCCCTTTCGTAAATATACTTGAAAAAATGATCATAGTAATGATTAGCTACACAGATGTTTTATGTTGCGTTTGTGCAAAGAGGAGAGAATCTTAGAGAAATGCATTATACCTTCTTTCTGTGTATTTTGAGAAAATAAAGCAGGGGAGGGGTAGATGGCAGAACAACACAGTTCTGCTGTAGAACAATTACTGGAAGTCAGTAAGACCTTAGCACTAATTTGCAGGAGGGTGGGGCAGAGGAGCTAGATGAGAGTTTATTGCTTTTGCAGCTAATCTGAATCATGGATCACTGCTCTGCCTTTTCCAGATACACAAAAGGAACCCAGACCAAATCTCTCCCTGAACTATAAGAACTCGAGCAACTTTTCATTTATCTAAGAGCAAAACTAAATTAACTGTGTTTCACACTCATCCTTAAAATACTTAGAACAGAACATTGTTGGAGAATATTTTCAGACATCTTTCAAATATTTAGAACTTGTTATCAAACTTCAGGAGCTTAGCTTTCTGCTCTCTACCAAACAGGAAAAGACAACATACAACTACAACCTTTTAACCTGAGTGAGGGTGAGAGAGACAGAGCAGAAACATCTGACAGGGATAGCATGATCATAAGAGAATACAGTTAAACCAGTCACCACAACCTCCAACAAAACCCCTCATAAAACCCCAATGGTTTTCTTGTAAAACAACTTACCGATGTGTGGGACCAATAAGAGTAGTCGAAGCTGAAGGACTTTGGTGCTTCCTTAGGATTCTTTGGGTTGATAATACCTACAGGAAAAAAAATTCAAACTCTTAGCTAACAACATTTAGGAAGATAATTAATGAACTTGCTGACCCTCAACCTAATTTGCAAATTCAGAGTTGCCACACTGCACAGGAGTAATTAGATTGAAAGTAATAGACTCACAGCTTCCTAACACTGCATTTCTGTAGGCCTTACTTGAAGTAAGTCAAGGGAAAAAAATCCTAGAAGGAATACTGCTGCTAAACAAAATTCTTCTGTTGGACAGAAAGTCAGAAGTAGATCATCCTGGTCCAGTGGCTTTTAGAATGGGACAGGCTTTGAGGAGTTGAAGGATTATTAGCAAGAAGGAAGATCCGAAACAGAGTTCAAGAATCCCTGGTGATTTCATAGCAGCACAACTCAAATCTATTTTTAAATACATGTTACACAGTACAAGGGCTCACTGCAGGAGGATTTTCTTAAAGAAGTTCAGCATTTTCAGGGCATGGAAGAAGAAAATTTGACCTACAGACATTTCAGGGATTATCCACATAGTTGACTCCAACATTCTTTTACATGCACAAAGTCTACAGACAGATTTGTAATTGGACTGATATCTCACAGTGACCTCCAACCAACCTGCATAGGTTTTTTTGCTTTGGAACTGAAGTAAAATATATGATGGCCCTATGATAAATAACACACACACACACACACACACACACAAAACCAGAATGAAAACACGCATTTGTGTAGTTCCTATATTAAAGACTTTTTAAGTTACATTCAAAAGGTGAGTTAAGTCACTGAACACTTTACCAGAATAAACACGCTTTGCTAACAAACAAAAAATGTTTTCTCTTCATATTGGTACTTCTGTAAATTTTATGCTCTTCTCTTCTTCTTGGATCCTCTAATTCTTTCAATATTTGACCCACACGTGTATTCCCCACAATTAATGAAAGCTCTTCCAGATATGTTTTAGGTTGTTGGTTTTGGTGTGTTTTGATTTTTTTCTTACCTGGTAACAAAGCAGCTTCCTATAACCTTTGCCTGGGGAGGAGGTAATACACAATGGATTCAGCTGTCATTTCAGAATGTCTGTAGTTCCAGTATTCCAAGGAAGTTAATTTAAAAGCACAGCTCTTGTTGCAGAAGTGAATCTCTACTGCTTTGTTCTTTTCAGTACTACAGTCCTGGAAATACTTAAATCTATTATTTCCAGCAGCTGTTTTCAACACCATCTGTGTAAGTAAGGACTGAAAAAAGGCATACTCTCAAGGGTATCAAAATTAGATAAACCACCTTAGATTTACACATACCCATCTGCACATAAAGCAGCAATCTGCCTTTCGAAGTGATACACTAATTACGATATATGCAAACAAAATCTACTAAGAAAGAAGCTATCTAAGGTGGTGACAGTCTTCCTGGGGATGATTTACATCCTGATACCAGTCATCCTAAATAAAGGATGCTTATTTCCCACATATTCATGCCAGTTAAGCTATGCTTTGGGACATGGTGGCTTCTCCCTTTACTTCTGTAATAAATAAAAATTGTAACACCCACATCTCTTAATATTTCAAACATGAACTTAACATCATGTTGCACCAAAATCTCTGAAAGTGTGGTTATAGAATCCCCATTAAAATTAAATCACTCCTCTACCAGATGCTGTGTCCCTGAGCAGGGCGGTTGTCCAAAATTACAGTGTGGAGAAAAGATCACTGTCTGGATTGCAAATAGCAACAGTTGCTATTCAATTCCTTGTGGCCAACTCCATTTCACTTGGATGCACCTTGTGCTGACATTCTTGCCTTACAAAAGCTGACAGACATGCAAAGCCAATGAATAATATGCCTTGCACCAGTACAGTATCTGATGGCAAAAATGCTTGTGGCTTTGGATAGCAACATGGGCATCAACACATAACAAACTGGTAACCTAAGCAATCATATATGGCTTTAACTTCCCTCTACTAGTTTTGATCAAACAGCAGTATATCTAAAGCACGTGCTATGAAACCAGTTCTAAAGTTAAAGTGAACAAATAACAAATCCCAGAAGACAACTCCCCTGCCCCAAACTTAGATCAGTCCTCTCCTTCCATTGTTTTCCAGACTGATAGAATTCAACAACTCCTCAGTTCTCATTCAATTATTTAACATCAAAGCCCTGAAAGGTAAGGAAGTAGTACTTCCTTGTACCCGTAAGTTCCTACCCCAAAAAGCAGAACAAATGAAAACCAATCTCCACACTAGTTCAATGTAACAACCTTTGGGGGTGAACAACACCATTATTTTCTTCAGATGTTTTACGTTATAAATTCAAGGGAAAGTAACCTAACCATTAAAAGGAGAAAAATGCAACAATAAATAGAACCCATTCCTATGTACTAGAAACTATACCTGTGTACTGTAAACACAATTCTAAGCAGATTGATGAAAAGATGTATTGCCAGCACCCCTACTGACAATATACAGTCTGCTGCTTAATCTCAGCAGCAAATCATTTTAACCCCAACTATTAACCCAATACTACTCTTGTGAGAGGAGTCACAGCTAGGCAAAAAGAGGAGCAACGACCTTTACTGGTACACTGCATTTGCAACACTGTTTAGAAATGGGAAACTCCCAGCCTGAGGAACTGTGAAGGCAATCAAAACAAGCAGAAGCCTAGCTACATCTTTGCTGACCAAAAAACACATTTTTAACCACAACCTAAAAACACACACTGGTTATCCAAATGTCACATTAGAGAAGTTTGACTTTAAGGTGCAACTGCAACCACAAAAGAGAGTTTTGATCTCACTTATTTAACTCATGGTATGATTGATATGTCTCTTCTTAGAATCAACAGTGAAATAGTGAGTATTCATCAGTTTCTCTTTTCCATTTTTATATTGTTGTTGATAAGCAAAAAGGACATTTCTCTTGGACAAGGCAAAGCTGCGCTTGGTCTCTCCAAGGAAACAAGAGGTAAATTGTCTTTTAAGATTCTATTGTCAGAAACAGAAAACAGAACAAGCAGCACAAATCTCGGTATTATTCCAAACCAGGTTTGATGTGAAAACATACACTTTCCCTTAGCTGTTTGTTTTTTGTTTGGGTTTGGTTGTTTTGTTTTTTTTTTTTTTTTTTTTTTAATAAACAAACAAAGACAACAAAAAACCCACTAAATATCTCTAGGAAAAGTCCACCACTTCAAAAAAGAAAGCAATGAAGCCAAACATTTTATCAGAATAATAGCCAGTTTTTCCACTCAACTCGCTGTGCATAAGGGCACATTGACCACCCATAAAAGACAAGATCCCTAGCTATGCAACAGGCTTAGTGTCTGGAAAGGCACTACAAGCTTGCCATTACAGCTTCACCCTAATTGCTTCAAGCTTAAATTTGATCCATCACATTTGTGAGGAGTGAAGTTCAGGCTTTGTGATTTATGCAGGTGGTTCCACTCTGCACGACTTTTTTTTTTTTTTTAAGCCATTTTTAATTATTTTCTTAAACAGGCTTTCCTCAGCAACTTCACACCAAGTTCCACACCCAGCACACTATTTTGAAAACTACCTTCTAGGATGCATGTTTTGGCAAAGTATATCTTGAGAAGCATATCAGGAAAAGGAGATTAACGTGCAAGAAGGCAGCTCTGTCAGAGGTCGGGAATGCAGTTGCCTGGCCAAAACCTTCCACTGCAACAGGAACAGGTCACAGAAAACCTCCTGGCTGCCAGGAACTCTGCATGCTGTCCCTCACTACTGTGATCCAGTCCCAGCCTTTTCACTCAGCTTCTAGTCCTAGCCTGAAGTCTATTTATCCCCATTCCTGTTTCCTACACAGAGTCTACACCCTCCATTTTCAGAATCACTGGTTTAACAGAATTCGCAGTCTGTCTACAAATGAATCCAGCAGAGCTGACTGATTGACAAAATACAAGATTACGACTTCACTGGATTTCAATCGGACTGAAACCCTCTCCATTTGGAACACTGAGCACCGAATGGGTAGCTACTAGCATCAGTCATGTCTGATACGGTCCAAGTTTGAACCACGTGATCAGGTACGCAATAATGCAAGATAAGACACCCGAAAGAAGATGGTGAGGCAGCTAAGAAACTAAGAATTCAAGCTGAAGTAACTGACCTAACTTCAAGGTGCCTATTGCACCAACCATCTACTTTGGAAGGACAAGCAAATCCATGAAATCTAGTTACTTTTAAAGGAAGCTAATGGATATTTCTGAAGAAATTAAAAGACTTCTTATAGTACAGGTAAGCTTTATCCTAAAAGTTCATACACCAAATTGGAAAAAAAAAAGGAACACCATGCAGAAACTAGACTAAGTGGGCAACAATGATTTTATGTACCATGTTATTCAGCAAGCTGTGTTTTCAGCCGAACAAGGAAACAAACAGAATTTTAAAAGAGGACTGTTTCCAGTGTCTCCAATACACACAACACTAAAAGCTTTTCAGTTATTTTGTTTGTTTTTTAAACCATGTAAAGGCCAAGATAAATTGTATTAGTGAATCATGAAATAGGTCGTCATCTATCTCCTCTCACCACTGCAGACTGAAGGCATGGTACGCAAGCTAATGGTTTAATTACAGAGCCTCAGGAAATGAGAAAGGCAATAAGGCAGACGATCACAGCAGGAACACATTAATGGCCTTTTTATCTTACAGAATAAATTTGTTTATCTGCTATTTCAAAGGTCCAATGTGGCAATTAACTCTTCTGTTTGCAAACTGACACTAATGCTTTGTGCTGCAGCTATAATTAGTTACCATCAGCATGGCACCGTAACAACTTTGAATGTTGGAGATCGCCTAAGCAGACAGTTTCTGAGAAACTCAACCCCCTTTTCAGGCCCCTTGCTTCACCAAGAGCCAACTTCTTAGGTCATGTGAAATCTTTCAGCTTTCCACAAGTTAAGGTTTCTGCATCAAGCAGAAACTGGAAGGGATATTTTACAAAATCCCCATCTTGTATACCATTGTTACTGAAAAAGGTTACACGCACAATTCAAAAATGTGGAAAGGA